TATATATATATATATATATATATATTGTAATAGTAATATGTTTAATTGTTTATAAAGAGAAAGTGAAGAATCAGTCTTATTTTTATAGATAATACGGATGAATTGGTTTCGAGTTATTCTTAGTTTTTTAATATAGGTCTTGAATGTGTCTCACCGTATTTGGATTACATACTGGATTTTTGAATTTATTAGTGCATAATATAGAATTTTAAGTGTACGAATATCGCAAAAAATCGTAAATTATAGAATTTCCTTGTATTATCCCTTAAACATTTTTGTATACTCATTATATGATTTTTGCAAGTCATTTTATTGTCCAATTTAAGTTTTTGAAATAGTTGACTTTCTCAATTGTTTCACATTTGCATGTCAGCTTTTGAATACAGTTAAGATCATGGGACTTAATACCAATTTTAAAATTAAAATCAGAGAATCCCATATTAATGTATTTGGTTTTGCTTACCTTAGCACTCATTGTGGTATTTCTACACCAACTTTTTAGAATCATAAAACTGTCATCAATATCATTCCAAAGTTGTTGTTCGTCATTGCAAGAAAAGTAAAAGCAATATCGTCAGCGAAAGCTGTTATTTTTCCTGAGAACTGAATTTGTAAGTGGTCGTTAATGAATATGAGAAGAAATGGTCGCTGATATCACAGACCCTTGCAGCATGCCTTTTTCGACTAGACCTGAATGTAACGGCTATCTATTTTGACAATTTGTTCCCGTTCAGAGAGGAACTGATTAAACCCTTCTAATGCTACATTTCTTATTCCTACATTCTCCATTTTTGAGAGAAGAATTTTGTGACCAACCATGTCAACATCTTTTCTAAAATCCATATACATGTTTTTACATTTTCCCCCTGTATTAATGTGATTATATATATAATCTGCCGCGCGGAGGAGCGATCAGTTCCGTCAGCCGTTTGCGCCATCGCGTTGTGCGAGAGTGGAACGGTGTTCCTACAGTGCACGAAGCGTTGAAGGGGGCCACGACTGCATTGCGACTCTTAGACACAGAGGACAATTCAGAACCATGTATGGAGAAGGATCTGGAGAAATTACTAATGAGAAATGCAGGAAGCAGTGAAGTAAACAATTAAAAATAATTGAGTATTTAATGAAAAATTAAGATATTGAAATTTTCAGAACATGCTGTTTTTATATTATTTCATTAATAAATTCATTCATTATGAAGAAATTATATTTAATTTTGACATCATTGAATATAGTGAACGAAAAATGTCAGTCCCCAGAATTTCACTATAACCGAAGTTAACGGTATTATATAATTAACAGAAGCAAAATTTACTCTTAAAACTTACAATTAATTGTTAATAAATAACACAAGAACTAGTAATTATGATATGAGTGGCTTTTGTGGAACGTCTTTTGTAGATTTCTTTCTCGAATGTGTTTAGGTTTATACGTTTGACATTTTTGTGATATTTCTGCCAGAGAGGAAATGATAAAGATTACACAAAGGAAAATGTGGTTTCCGCAGTAAGTTATCAGTACTAAGCTTGACTAGATGGGTTAATGTGAGATTCTTTCCCCCAGTGGAGCTCAAGTTGATATGAAAGCTTTACTAAGCCAATATGAACGTTAATTGCCCTTATCGCTACCTATTACATTCCTATGTATTTTGTAAATGCATCGATCACTATATCTCTTAGGCTCGCCCTTATTATCAGTGGCATAGGAGTATGCATTTAACTCTGCACGTACACTTGTTTTCTCACGCTTGAATTACATATTGAGTTCTGGGGTTCACCAAACTGGTTTTGACGATACAATCCCACATCCGTTAGTTATTGAACTCTTATTTTCACTTATCTGTAGGCCTTACTGTACTCCTATGATTCATTACCAGTCGCAAACCGTTATGAGAAAATGAAGGCGTAATTTTTAACACGTATCTATTTGAAAAAATGAAATATTCTGAGCATCTTCCTAGAATATCGTCTTCTCTAAACAATAGATGACATAAAACTGAAAACTAGCTGTTCTACAACAGCACACATTTCTCGCATTATTTAGAACGCTTACCTAATATTATAATGTTGCTATTTCTGGCCACCCTTCAGGCAACACTTAAAAAGTCCAAACTAATTCAGTCTAAGCGCCTGAGGACCATATCAGTATTTTTTTCGTTAGTAAGGCTCTTTCTTACTTCTACAAAAGAAAAGAGCAAGAAATACCCGAAAATGCGTATAGAATTCGATGTGTGTATCTGTATTCATTTATATGAATACATTTATATATCTGCGTCGTGGGCGCAAGAAGAGCCAATTTTTTTTTTTAGCCATTTTTGGCTGTATGGTCTGTGTGTGCTTTAAAAGCTTCTTCTTTCAGTGCAAGAAAGGCCAAAGTCAAAAGTCCTATCTCCTTATTTCACTATCTTTACATTGCCCTACGATTGTTTTGTCACTTCGACGGTGTAAGAAAACCACTCTGAGTGAATTTGAAAGTAATTTTAATGCGTAACACAATGAATTTAGTGTTTGATTCATTTATATGATTATTCCTTCTGGAATTTGACTAAATTGAGATACCCATAAATTACGAAACCTGCGCGTCTTTATGTT